TAGTAAACGATTTTATTTTGTCGTTTTTGCGTAAAATATTAAATCAGACGATACACGTGTGTATTTAAAAAAAAAGTATATATTTTTTTTGTTTAAACAATATATCTTTAGTTCACTATGAAATGATTAAAAATAACATAAAATGTCTGTAGCAGTCGTGGCCGAGTGGTTAAGGCGTCTGACTAGAAATCAGATTCCCTCTGGGAGCGTAGGTTCGAGTCCTACCGACTGCGAAGAAGGTGTTTCTTTTTTTTGCTTCATAATCAATACGCAAGAACGATAAACTGTCGAGTAAATACCGAATAATCGATAATTATTCAATCTACTTATTTTTTATAATAATTTATACGTATATCATAGACATAGATATAATGTAATGCTGCAGTGAGTGTAATGCGAGCCTATTTCGTAATCGATATCGCAACGCAGGAGAGATATTTGTGTTACGAGTGCGCGATTTCAATCACGATTGCCTCAACACGCTGTGTTTACTGTATCAGTTACTTATTGATACTTTTTTTTTTCCAAATCGAGATAATTCATATCCACATCGATAACGATAGAACAGGGGATGATAGAAAATTGCAACGTGTAAAAATTGACACAAGCGGACGGTAATCAATCACAAGTAGGCGGAGAATTAATGAATTATGAAGAAGCAATACGCATGATTCTCAGTGAATCGAATTAGGACGATTTTCGTACAAAGCGTGCTGCAATTATTAGATAAAATCAAATGTATACAGATGAGTTATCATAATCGTTTATTTTGTTCTCCGTAATGTCCCATGATTACGTAAAGCCATTACATAGCTATATTTCTCCGCGTGAGCAATTGAATGATAACGGATCAATATAGTCTCTCGACCTCAAGCGTATCACTCGAGTGCATGCAAACTTAGGAATGACGGCGTTCTATATTCCAATTCGACGGGCAACGTATCTAATCAAGCGAACGAAAATATCTACGACGAAAAGGGATGAAGAGTGCAAGATTTGCGAGTGCCATTTCGTATCTTTTCGCCGCGATCGACGTCGCTCGAGCGAATTTTTATCAGGAGGCCAACGTCGACCGTGCGATCCAGGGGATTTTACAGTCGGTTACGTGGCAGGATGTGATTGTCAGGATTCAGAGATACGATATCTACGGAGCGCAGCGTCTGCTTGATATCGTCGCCCGGAATGTGGCAACGACGTGGCCGTCGCAGATCCTTATCTCCGGAGGACGTCTGGGTCTCGGCTTCCTACCGGGAGACTTGGCTTCTTCCGGCACCCTATTGATCTACATTTATACATCGAATAATGTCAACGAAGCGGAACTAGACACTATGCTGAACGACGTAAATTTAATATCCCATCCCAAGCACACGCCGAAGCTCCTGTTGGTAATCGGCTCGGACAAAATTACGTTGGACGGACGACGGCAACTCGGTTATCTGTGGAAACAAAGGCTCTTTGACGTGATTATCCTAGAGGTGTCCTTTCATCCGCAATACTCGGAACCACTTTTCGTGGCTATACACAGGTTCAATGGATTCAACGAAGATTACTCGAGAGTGACCGTGTATGAAAACAGTACCGTCTGGTACCCGAATAAGCTACGAAACATGTACGGTCATACATTCAAGGTAACATTCGAAGAGGTGAGTCCTTACGGCACTTTGGAAAACGGCACGGTGGGCGGCCTGGCCAAGCTGTTCGTGAATGCGCTGTCGGACGCCGTGAACGGCACGGTGGTGCACACGAGCGACCTGCGAGAAAGCGACATGAGGTACAACGCCGAAGGGCTCGTGTACGGGGACTTGTACAGCACGCAGCACGAGCACACCGTCGCCGTCGGCGACGACCGGGTCTGCGCGCTGGTCCCGGCGATGCCGGCGGCGAAGATCCTGGTCGATTTCTGGCGGATCATCATCACGATCCTGTTCGGCTTCCTGCTGGCGGCGGTGGTGTGGTGCGTCTCGCTGCTGATGAGCGTCACCGAGCGAGTTCGCGATCCTTTGAACACGGTCAGTCTGATCCTCGGCATGGCGCCGCTTCACGGACCCCGCAGCCTCGTGGAGAAGATCCTGTTCGTCGGCGTGGTGATGACCGTGGCGGAGTACACGATTATCTTTCAGGCGGAGCTGCTCGAGTTCGTGGTGGAGTTCGCGGTCAGCACGCGCGTGTCCACCTTTCAGGATCTGTACAACACCGGGCTGAAGGTGGTGGTCAAGCCGGTCGTGTACGACGAGCTCGCGGCCACGGAGGGCCTGTCCCCCGAGTTCATGAGGAGATTCGTCAACTCCAACAACGAGCTTCAAAACAAGGACGGGACGGTGGATAGCTCGAAGGCGTACTTCACGTCCGAGATTGACGGTAAATTGGCGGAGAATAAGTTGAAACGTAAAGGCAAGCGGCTCTTCAGACTTTCCGATCTGTGCATCCTATCGCATTATCGCGTGCACAGGCTCAACGTGAAGTCGCCTTTCAAAAATGAAGTTAACCGCGTGCTGTTGTCGCTGGAGGAATCTGGCTTTACGAGGAAGTACGTCGACGATTTCTGGAAGGACGAAAAATCGGGACGCAAGAGCGAAAGCGGAATGAGTCTCAGAGATCATTCTGTGTACGTTGCATTTTTAGTTATTATCGTAGGTCATGTTATATCGTTTACTGTATTTCTGGGAGAGGTAATAGCCGGTCGAGTTTTAAAGCGCAAACACCTCTCTCTTTCTTTCAGTTATTGCAAGTCGACGAAAAAGTCGAAACAATCGAAAAGTGTTAAGAATTAATATCAGTGACACATAATTAATTTTAAAATTGGATTGCGGATTTAAAATATATTTGCGAAAGTTTTTCGGAATTGTAATGCACGTATCTTAAAAAAAATTTGCAAATATTACCAAGAAGACATATTTAAGATCCTTAAAGACATGTATATTTAAGATCCTAAATAATATAGCTATATTATTTCTTGACTGTTTTAATATTTTATCATTTCATTGCTTATCACTGGATTGCACAAAATAGATGAGCTGTTTGTTTTTTTAATTGTAACATTACATCACATTGTTATCTTAATAAAATTAAATATAATTAAATTGCTTCAAAATTGTTATGTCTTCTGTACGGAAGAAGTTAAGAGTTGTGTAAGAAAGAAGCAAGATTAAGATTAAAAGAAAAAATACGATAAAGATTAAAAAAAACAAGTATATCTAATATATAAGCGTATGTACTTCAATATATGAAGCTTATTAGCGCAATCACATAGTACACGCTCAAAAATAGATCAATCAGAAGATCTTAGATTATAAAACGCTTTATTCGTTAACTAAAAGAGACAAGCCCCGCTTGTAGAACATTATCTCATGAAGGACGTACATAGAACGAGCTGTGTGACGCAAGTATAACAAATAAGTGTACGTCAAGAGCACGGACGTTGCGCTTCATTCGGCCAATAAAATCTTGCAAAACAGTTTGCAATTTGCATTTCGCTTAAGATTTGACACCAATAATACGGCAGAAATATGCCCGGCGTATTTTTCTGGTACTCATTGTCAAATTTATCGCACAATAAACATTTCGGTTTTTTTGTGTTGTAAAGTGTTATTGCGACGAGATTTATTTTCACCGTCATATATATAATCAATGGATGTTTTTGAAATTAATCGGCAAATTGAAGTTATAAAGATAATAAATATCAACATAACAATAAAACAAATAACAATGAGATAAAATACCGTTGGAAAAACAATATTCTGCGTTGGAAAAATATTATCGAAATATTGTTAAAACGACCATGAAGTTTCTACGCAAAAACGACTTAAAATTCCTTATCGAAACGATTATTATATAATTTACTAGATCGTTATAGTTAAATGCTATGACTCAACAAACTGTGTTGTTTAAAAATTATTGGGCAACGAGTTATCTGCAAAATAAAACGCCGCGAAAAGCGTCAGCGGTTTTTGCAGATATACGTGCATCTCGCTTAAAGTCGGCAGCGACGATTGCTGGCTTCGCGCCCGCACTGTGTGGAAGATTTGCAATCGAGCGAACGTGACTTATGTTTGCCACGGGCGATATCGCGGCGTATCGCCGGATTGCTGTTGTCATTTAAATTGTCCGATAGCGCGCGTATCACGTGTCGCGCGTATCGCTATCATCGTCGAAACGTGCGTGCCGCACGTGGATGTCTCTATCGTGCCCACGATATTTGCCGGTGGCTTTGACAATACCAATGCCGTACTATTTATACGTCGCCCGAAATATGAATCCATGAATATCTTTTGCTGCTTTGTCAAAAGTCAGAAGTCGCGAGAAAACATTTTCAACAAGACATTCAGGAATCTTCCGAGATCTTCCACGTATTGGAGTAGCTAATAAATGCGGTTCAAAAAGTTTCAAAGAAATGTTAATCTGTCTCTACTTTGATTTACGCATCTATTTACAATATTCTGATCTCATTTTTGCTTTTATCTGACCCGCGATTGGCAAAATGGAAATATACACATCGACATCTTTCTTGCCAAACCTCGATATTACCAGTGTCAAGGCGCAAGTTTGCGCCCCTCTTTTTGCAAGACTAAAAATATCGTCTATCGCAAAGAAAGTTAATGATTCGTATATTTAATTTCGTATATTTAAACTTTAACTACCACTTTTATGTGTATGTATCACAACTGGTGCTTTCGTAATATATCGTATTTGAGTAAGATTTAATTATTGCTCCTTAATAGAATATTCAATTTTAATTTCAATTGAAATTAATTTTAAAATACGTAAGATACCCATCGAATTGATATCGGCAATCGCTTTATGTAATTGTTATAATTGTGCAGCATAAAAAAGAGAATGTGTTGAAATTCAAATAATCGACGTTCGGAGTGACGCACAAAAGTGCGTGGGAAGGGAGATGTCGATCGTGGAGGGAGAATCGTTGGTCCGCACACGCGTGCGCATCCCCATATTTTTACCCCCGCCGACTTGCTCTTCCCTCTATATATGACGTATACAGGTTGCAGTACATTGCTTTTGCCCCGCAGTAACGAAGTCTTGGGCTACGTTAGATCACGTTAGATCACCGTTACATCAAAAGTTCAGGTACAATACATCGTCAATACATCGTACGCGAATTGTACGCAAGTCTCTTTTTTTCTATTTATTATTGATTTTCTCGGCAAAACAGCATCATGCTATTTATAATCGCAACAATAGAAAGGCCATTCAATATTTCATGAATAAGGATAAAATGTCAATTAATTATTCTTTTTTTTTTTTTTTCTAAAAATTGATAGTAGAATTATTTTGTTAATCTTCATTATTTTATAATTATTTATAAAAACAATATATAGTAGTAAATATGCTGTTTCTTGTTCGTTTAACAGTGGATTTTTTCTTATTTCTTAACAATGAAGTCTCTAGTTTATCTTTTAGTCCATGGAATTAATTTTTTCTCAGTTAGAATATTAAGAGAATTATTATTATTATATCTAATTATGAGCCAATTTTTCTCTTATAACTGATAAAAATCAGAAGCTCTTGCGTTTTCGATGTTACAACTTTGTCATATAGTCATGCATGTTAAGAGTAACTTTAGATAATACATCAATAATTTTTTAACAAAGTAATCTCTCGTTAACATTTGTTGTCGCAGATCAATAATTCGTGAATTTATAAATCAAGAGAGAGAGAGAGAGAGAGAGAGAGAGAGAGAGAGAGAGAGAGGGATGATAATGATAATGATATCGTTATTTATTTAGCGTTTTATAAAAAAGTTTTCTCTCAAGCGGAGGGAGGGAGGGAAAGAAGGAAGAGAGAGAGAGAAAGGTTTGACTGCACTAAAATCTTTTGACTAAAATCTTTTAAAAGAGAGAATAAAGGATAGAGAGAAAGTTTTGACCGCACTAGAATTTTTTGATCTGCACGTTATCTCTAATATTATTAAAATACCGATAAATTGTTCGAATTTTGTGTGAAATTGCTTTGACGATATATTCTTAATATTATAAAGATTTAAAAAAATATAAAAAAGGAAAAAATATTATTTTTTTATTGTCTAAACCAGAAACATCTCTTAAATTTCACTTTTAAAAATATCGTGCTTATATGCACTTTGTTATACGTTATACACTTACTTTGTCTATGTGTCTTAAACTGCTAACAATAATTATTAAATATTAATTATCAGCTAATATAACGAATTGCTCTCTTCGAGATTCATTCTACGAGCGAGATGCGAGGTCACTCACGTACGGAAATACTACTTGCACGTAGTAATCACGTGCACTTATCGGCCACCGGAAAATTACTCCTCGGGTGCCTATCATTTACACACGCGGACATTTATCAGTTATTACTATGCAGAATACTCCATTTACACTATTGCGTTATTTTTTAACAGATGAATTTTTACCTTGAAAAATCGAAGCGGTTATAATCTTCAGTTACAAGTGATAGGAAAAGAAGAATTTTTCTATGTAATTTAGGAAATCAATGAACCACTAATCTTTTTTAATTAACATTATGCAAAGTTTAATTTAATTAATTTAAACAGTTAGAAAAAAAATGTATGATAAAAATTAGTAAACTGTAATATAACTGTAATAGCTCTTTAAGAAAATAACTGTAATAACTCTTTAAAAAAATATCAATTTTCCGAATTAGGTTCAAAAAGTTTACTATTTATAATTATATTTATTTAGAATATATTTAGAATATAAGGAAAGCTAAAAAAGTATAATAAGGCCATCGCGATAAAAATTTTTATCTTCCTATCGTTAAACTTTGTTTAATTATCAGAAAAATTTGTTGATGCATGAATCGCTCTTTTAAATTTATTTTGATAAGAACATGATTGGCCAAGCTTGTTAGAGAAGCTCAAACGTCATGGAACTGTACGACAAAAAACGACTGTATGCCAAACATTACGATCATGATTGCTGATATGATAAGTCAAATAATTAAACTTTCTGTTATTTCTTTACAGGTATTAGCTAGTGTAGGAAGTGCTATCAAAAGCTCAATTATGGCGGAATCTTTAGAGCAGATGCCAAAATCCGACACTATAAGGCTTCGCGACCGTTATATCGGGTAAGTATCAAATTCACAAACGGCATAAAATACAAATTACGAGGTGTCTTTAGTCCTACCGCTATTTTATATTTTAAATAATATAATATAAAGAGTGCCGATAAAAAAATGATTATTTTGCCAATTAATTTTGATTCTAGGCAATCGTGCAAGCTATTTTACAAGTCGAATCCGTTAAAAATCGTGAGGGCCGAAGGACAACACATGTACGATGAGAAGGGTAATCGGTACTTGGACTGCATAAACAACGTTGCGCACGGTATGTACTCTTGAATTCTTAAAAATTAGGCAATTCACCGTCATTAAGCTTGATTGATCTTAATGACATGATAATTGCGGATTACTTTTACGTAGCTTCTTAATCGTCATGACTTAACTCTCTTGCAGTTGGCCACTGCCATCCGGACGTCGTGCGAGCTGGTCAGGAACAGATGGCCTTGTTGTCCACGAACAATCGTTTCCTTCACGACAACCTGGTGGTATGCGCGAGCCGGCTGGCGTCGCTTCTGCCGGAACCGCTGTCCGTTTGTTTCCTGGTGAACTCCGGGAGCGAAGCTAACGATCTTGCACTTCGTCTCGCTCGGACGCACACGAAGAACAAGGATGTCATTACGTTGGACCAGTAAGTTTCCAGTCCTGTCGGAATTAATGCTCCTATGTTTTTGTGTGTGTATTCGTATATTTCTATATAACAATTCTATTATTGAGTTCCACGCGCTACGTCACGAAAGTCCCGTCGGTTAACGAGACGAATATGGAATGAACTTCCGTTGTTCCGTTCCTACTCGGATCTTCTCGACGTGAGCAATGTCGCATGTGCATCAAAATATATACATACGTTGGATATTTCAGGCTCAACAAACACGATGAGAAAATTCATTGCCGAAACTAATGAGATCGGTTTTCTCTTTTGCTTGTTTGCAGCGTCATACCGCTCTAAATCAGACAGAGAACGGGAGCGTCCGCTTTTTTTGGGCATCGAGATCGAGATGCATGCCGGCAGATCCGGGGAAATCGGATGTGGGCATCCGATTCTTTTCACCGCGGCGGAAATAGAATTCGCCGCCATAAAGAATCTTGTCGCTGTTTTTAGGTGGCGTAAGTCTCATGACCGACGTACGTGCCAGCACGTATGATACACACTCTATCATTATTCATTTTCTCCTTCTGTCGGTGAGGACGATGTCGCTGAATATTGGACTGGACTTATCCGAGAGAGAGAGAGAAAGAAAGACAGAGATAAAAAGAGAGAGAGAGAGAGAGAGGAACAAACGCTAAACGATGGGTTAAATAAAAATGTAAAGTAAAGACAAAGCGAAGTCACGTCAAGCGACTTTGTCAAAGTTGAGCGTCAATTCTAAAAATATACAAAGTTGCGAAAACGTTGAGATAATAATGTACTTGTTACCACTACATACTAGAAAACTGATAACAATAACACGTGCACTTGTGCTCCAATTATTATTTAAACAGCTGCGCTGCGTGGACTTTGCGCTTTGTCTTTCTATCGACGTTGATAGCTTTGGGCAGCTCGAATCCACATAAATTAATAATTATTTCACGTCTTTTTGCTCGAGTTTATAAATGAGTAGCCCTTGGCAACTACACGGACACGTGCGAATATCGTAGCCACGGTGAGGCCATTGAACGTCCTCGGCAACAATGGGAAAAAAAGCTAAAAAAAAGAGTTACATTTTCAGGAACTGCTTTTACTTAATAAAATATAATACTTATTAAACGAGAAATAACCAATAATTTTTAAAAAGTTACATTGTAGCCTTGCAGGGCTTCGAAGAAATTAAATTTCGACGAACCTAACGGCCAGAGAAGAAATTTCTGTTCACATTTATCTCTCTGCTTTTAGCGCTTATCACGGACATTTGACCACGATAATCGATATCTCGCCATACAAGTTCAACAAGCCTAACGGTACCGGCAAGAAGGACTGGGTGCACGTGGTAAAGTATTTCAAATACTTTTTGTTAATGATTATTTATTAGTGATATGAAATTGCTTGTTTGTTGCGTAAGAATTATCTTCCATTTTGAAAAAGTTTAAATCAACAAGACATAGGCGCGAAGATTAAAATGTCTAATTAAAAGTAGAATTTCAAGACAAGAATCTGGCGACCGACATATATTTGGAAATTATAGATTTGCAATTAAATTCTTTATTATTATATAAAATAAATATCATATAGATGTAGATAATTGAAATTTTTTTATTATGAAAAAGTGAGATGTTTGTCTTATTTAGTATTTATGTCGTTTATATTGTTGAACAAAATATGTACTTATATTATTTCATACGTTTCACACATCGCTACTTTTCTTTTTTAGGCTCCCTGCCCAGACGTCTACCGCGGAAAGTATCGCGCCACCGATTACGTCGACGAGGACCTCGGTGTTAAATACGCCAAGGATGTAAAGGAAATCTGCAAAGACATCAAGGCTCAAGGACGTGGAGTTTGCGCCTACATCGCGGAAAGTCTCGTATCGGTCGGCGGACAGATTCTGCCGCCACAGAATTATTTCAAGAATGTATACAGGTACATGAGGGATCGCTTTATTATTATATACATGTGGATACGCGCTATATACACAGGAGAATATAACGCTAGAATAAATATATTATCAATGGCAGTGTGGAAAAAAAAGGATATGATGGAATGAATTGATCCTACAGGCACGTACGCGAAGCGGGAGGAGTCTGTATTGCGGATGAGGTTCAAGTCGGTTTCGGCAGAGTCGGCACTCACATGTGGGCCTTTCAATTGTACGACGTTGTACCGGACATAGTCACACTGGGCAAGCCCATGGGCAACGGCCATCCCGTCGCGGCCGTCGTTACAACGCCAGAGATCGCGCGCAGTTTCTGCGACACTGGAATCGAGTACTTTAACACCGTTAGTTTATAAAGACGTTATTAATATTATATTAATATTTTGAAAGATATACTTTTACTAAAAGATATTTCCGTGTAATTTCGGTAGTACGGGGGCAATCCCGTATCCTGCGCAGTGGCGAACGCGGTGATGGAGGTCATGGAACGTGAGGGTCTTCAGGAGAACGCCTTGAAAGTTGGCAACCATCTGATTGCGGAACTGAAGAAATTGGCGAAACGACGGAGGATTATCGGCGACGTGCGCGGCGCCGGGCTGTTCGTGGGCATCGAATTGGTGCGCGACAGAATTAAGAAGATACCAGCGACGGCGGAGGCAAAGCATGTGGTGTCCAGGATGAAGGAAAAGAAGATTCTCGTCAGCAGCGACGGACCCGACAATAATGTTTTGAAATTGAAGCCGCCGATGGTCTTCACACTCGAGAATGCCAATCATTTCGTATCCGTTCTCGATGAAGTGCTCGAAGAAGTTGATATCGATTTCGAGGAGGTGATTTACATTTTGCATTTACTTAGATGTGCCAGCAATTATAGTTGTTACCAACATTAAATATTAACAAAGTATTATTTTTTATTATAAAAAGAAATAAGAATTTATCTAGTCGAATAAATTTTTACTATGTTATACTAAATATGGGTGATTTTAAATAATAATAATGTAATTATTAATTGTTTCAGGAATCGGAAACCACTACAACTATTATCAAAGCAACGATCTCGTCCATAGAAGTCGACAGAAGCACCGCGGTGAACAACAATGGAAATTCATTATTTGTTCACGCTAATTAATAACGTATTTTGTACAATTATTGCAAATGTTAAATTTAAGAGCTAATGTTCAATTTAACAGCTTCATATAAAAAAAGTATTATTATTTTTAAGATTAATTATTATTTCTTGTTATGACATATTTTTATATAACTATTGAAAATATACGTAAATAAAAAAATAGAATTATTTTAGTAAAATAGAGTAATAATATTAAGATATTATAAAATATGTTTAAATAAATGCATTTTTATATAAATAAAGTTTATTGTTATCAACTTTTCCTAGCAAGATAAAATTGGTTTATATTAATGTTAATTTATATTAGTATATTTATATATTCTTTTACATTAATATAATTCTTTTATAAAGAATATATTTATTATATGTCAGTATATTATTCCTGAAATATTTGAAAATATTATAATTTCTCGGAACAGTCGTATTTTACTTCCTTTGCACTTCTCTTTTTTAGATTCTATTTTGTTATATTTAAATACTTTTTTAACTCTATTATTAAAATAATTAACTCTATAATTAATCTTTTGTTCACTTTTGTCAACTTTTGTTTTTGGATTTAATTTTATATATTTGTAATCATCATTAAATCATATCACAAATGAAACAAACGTGTGCAAGCAAACTAATAAATAATTAAATAATCGCTTTAATCGTATTATATGTGATGCCGCTATATTGGTACCGTTTGCATTGATAAAATAAGTTATTCTTTCATAAAACTTAAGTGCAAAACAGGCCAATGAGAGTCACGAGCGGTTCTTGGTGCCCAAAGTTTTTGTATTATAACATTAAGTTACATTAATAATATACAGTATATGAACGTTTCGACTCATTTAGAATCATCTTCAGCGCAATAATGCCATAACGTTTGTCTCGACTTTACCTTAATTTTTTTATTTATTTATTGTACGATGTTTTTATTATGGGATTCAATCTTCCGACGGAGAAGACTCAGACACTTGTTAGCCGCGCTACTGACACTACGCTTTTTGTACAGTTTTAAATTGTTGGTGATCATGCGGCCACGCATTTAATAAGTTTTGAGTTGTTAACAACTTGTGTATTTGCATCATCATTCATTTCTAAAGTTTCATGAGGATTCTCGTTCTGATTGGGGTGTGTCAAAGTTTCGAAAATAATTCCTCAAATAATAGTTAGGATTATATATAAAATTTCCACATATTTTCAGGGGAAGCAATCAATCAAAGATTGTTTCTCTCTTAAATATTAAGGATTCCGCTTCAGAAAAGGTAACCAACAGTGACTCATCCTACCAGGAACAAGGATCATTTATTGCTTTCGCATGTTATGACATTATTGCGCTGGAAGATGACTCTAAATGAGTCGAAATGTTCGTATACTGTATATTATTAATGTAACTTAATGTTATAATACAAAAACTTTGGGCACCAAAAACCGTTCGTGACTCTCATTGGCCTGTTTTGCACTTAAGTTTTAAATATCGAGAGTACTGTTATTATTTTTAATTTTTATTCTTTCATGTTATTCCTTCTTTGTTCGCACTTGCTTACTTTGTCAGTATTCGATTTTATATACAATATAAACATGATTTTACAAAAAATTAAACAAAAAATTATATTATAGAAGAGTTGTGAAAATATTTGAATAAAGCAAGATAGAAACTAAAAGAAAGAAGCGCAAACAAGGTAAAACGTGACCGAATCTAAAAGGATGAAACATTTAAAAAATTTTTGCAAAACTGTAGTAAGATTATAATTAATATAATTACAAAAATAATTGTTAAATGATATTATACTATATAAATAAATGTATAAATATTATATGTAAACATATAATTACTGTGTGTGTGTGTGTGTGTATACACACATGAGTCTTAATTAGTATCAGTTTTAATCATCGAATGTATAAAGCGTTTTTCCAGAGGCGCTACTTGTATGTAGTAATTTGACATAAAGTTATTAAATTTTGAAGGCAAATTGTTAATTGATTTAACAATCAAACTAGATTTTAAAAGCTTCTCACCGGTTGCCTTAACTTGTACTGAATTACTGCTAATTAAGCACAATAGCTTTTACAACGCTTTCACCATTATTGAATCACATTCGATGAAATTCTTAAGCAGAATTTTTATGATTTTGTCTCGTAAATCGATTGAATTTTCAACCAGATATCTCGTGAACAATCACGAATTGCTGCGTCAACTGTGTGGTCATCATCGGAAAGTGCACATGTAAGCATCCGTTGCGCTTTATCATCGGTCTTCATTCATGTTTCATCTTTCTCTTTGCCATAACCGATAACTTGGGACCTTGACCGTGACATCCACATGATCAATTGCATCAATGCATTTCAGGCGATAACGTACTTCCGCTGATAATTATCTTTAGTCAACGAAGATAACTCGGAAGTAATAAAATCTCCAATAGCCATTTCGACGTAACACAAAAATTTGGCAGATTTTTTATAAGAAAAAGAAACACTTAATGCACTAGTCTTGCGCCTTATAATCTGTGAGGTTTATGGATAAATTTACAATGTATATTGTATGCAAAAGAATGTAAGATAAAAAAAGGCGCAAAAGTCATTCACTCTGAGTTAGGAAATAAGCACGTGAAGTGCGAGACTGTGCAGTTAACTATAGACAAAAGAAATTTTTACCAGAGATAATGTAACTAAAATTGACATGAAATCGCACAAATTTCTACCTTTAAAGGAGCTGAAAGAGAGAGATCAAGATCTGACTGTAGTTGTTTCTTTCTTTTTAAGGGAGGTCAAGGCGACTTGGATTGTCGCACCATTAATGATGATAATTATAATAAATGAATAAGAGTCTGATGTATGAAATTGATAACAAGCGAATATATCAGTGACGCGAGAAAATATGTGAAAATTAATGTAAGACTATAAGCTGGCAGAAGGTAGAAATGCATATTTCGTTAGATTAAAAATGTCTAACAATAAGATAAAATAAATTAAATTAATAAATGCAAATAAAGCTGCAGAGAGAAAAAATTATATAAAAAAATTGATAATAATTTATGAAATTTTATATAATTTATTAAATTACATTATAACACCTTTTATTAGACTCTTCAAATTAATAAAGTAATTGTCTTATAAATAAATACATCTACTGTACTTTCTCTATAAAGAGAAGGGATAAAATAATTTTTGTTACATCGTGGTCTAAGTTATTATAAATAATTGCTAGACATCTTATCATTATTAATACAACAATATGCACGTAAGTTGAATTTTTAGATATCTCTCCCCCCCTCCCATACACTTGTATATATTATATATATCTAAAAATTCAACTTAATGTTATATAGCTTTATGTTGCTAATAATAGTAAGTTGTATAGCAATTATTCGTAATAACTTAGAGATGTAATAAAAATAATTTGATCTTTTTATATATGTGTATATATATATATATATATATATATATATAAAATTTTGTAGAGCGAAATATTGTTACTATCTTTTTATTGGAAGAGTAAAAGATCAAGCGATAAAGAAATTTTTATTCCTCATAAGAAATAAAGTTAGAATATAATTGTCAATTTATTCTTTCGTCGCTTTATATCTTTTTAAAAACAATTTATATATATATATATAAATTTATATATTTATTACCAATTATTAATTAGCTTACAATTATTTTCTGTAAAGCAGAAAATTGCGTTTAACCCTATTTTAATTTTTATAAAGTTTGTAAAACATTTTAAAATAAAAGATATATATATTTTTTAATATTTGTGTACTAATACATGTATTAGCTTAAAGATTGAAAGTACATAAAAATTGGAAAAAAATCTTACGTGTATTTCTTTATTGGTGACAAACATACAAGTTTATCGTAATGTGGAAAAAGAATAGTATTAAAAATACTTGAAAGAAAAATGTTATTTACAGATTTTCTGATTGCGTAATCGTCGTTAGAAAATATCTCCTGTAGCTGACACTACTATCTCGTGACTTGGATCAAAGTTTGATATTTTTAACTTTCGTTTTCCGTTCGAAAATGTATGCAAGTCCACATTACATCCGCTAATATCTTCCATTTGTTCGCCTTCCGCAGATGTTTTCATTTATGATAAGACGTAAACAAGAAAAAAGAAATAAATAAAATAGTAGTTAATGGCATAGGATCGCCTGTAATCATTATACTAAAGATCTCCGAATGCCAAGCGGAAATTCAACACGTGCAGAGAATTATCAATGGTCTATTGCGAATCAACATCCTGTTTTTCTGTTTATTTGAAAAAAAACGGCGAATAATGATCTAAATAAAAATAAAAAAATTAAAAGAAAATGACCACTTCTATTAAATTTTATTATTCAAATTATATAGTATATTAGTGAGGTAATAAATATAATATATATATAAAAATATTAGGTATATATATGTAATATAATGTATAAAATATCGATATCTAATATATAAATAATATTTATTTTATATATTGATCCCAACACACACACACACACACACACACACACACACACACACTGCTTTCTTTTAGGAGGAAACATAAAAAAAATATAAATATTACCTCCACTTTCATAAATAAAATTATATAATTTTTTTACATAATACGATTTCTTTATTTATTCCGGATATAAGAATATTAAGATAAAATTTAATGTAGCTAATAGAGGCTAAAGAGAATAAAGGCTTAAGAATAAGATTCTAAATATAATAGAAGGGCTAATAAACCATACTAGGTGTAAGTGAGTTGAAATAATGTATTTATCTATCACACATTACAAAACAATTTATGTGTCAAGTTGTTTATAAAATGTCGAACGTTTCGACCTATTTAAATTATGGTCATCTTCAGTGATAATCTAACAATGTATATAATATTAATCGCAAAAATCTGATAAAATTTAAAAATACATAGTGATAAAAACCTCGTTTATATAAACGCATAGTAGCGCTCGCATAAAATTAAATTTAACATAGCTAATAGATAAAGGCTCATAGAATAAGATTCTAAATGTATAATAGAAGGACTAATAAGCCACGCTAGGTGTAAATGCTGAAATAATATTTTATTTATCTATCACACGTTACGTAGTATTTATCTATCACACGTTACAAAACAATTTACGTGTCAAGTTGTTTATAAAATGTCAAACGTTTTTACCTATTTAAATTATATTACATTATTTTAGCACGAAAAATCAATACTTTATGAAATATTTTATACTTATCATAAAATGCCACATTTCGACATAAAATATGAAATATCTCGTAAACTATTGATTTTTTGATAAATATAACTTAATATTTTTATGAATTTTATGCATAAAATACTGAATAAAATCTATTGGTGTAAAGAAAACATAGAGTTGTTTAAAAAATATATATGTAGCTATATATTGCAAATTGCACATTTTTTATATGCAGAATAATTAGAGGAATTATATTGTGTAAACAAAATTATATAATACCTTCATATCTTTTCGGTTTCTCCACCTAGAAAAAAATAACTAATTCAAAATACGTCCTCTCTATATCATACAATTTTTATTTAAAACGTTTTTGATAAAATTGCATATTTTCGAAATTTCAATATTTACCTGTTAAGATTAAAATCTATAATAAACATATAGGAACGATGTAAATGATCCACCTGCAAAATATATTCACGTTAAATATGTATAATCTACAATACGTATATTTTTTCTCTAATCTATAGCGAATAGATAATTGTACTTGGCGTAAGTTACAGAAAAATTTGCGCAAATAGTAATATTTTTTTCGATTAACTAGTAACTACATCTCAAAAACGTTTTTATTATGATACTATATTTGATTATTATATATCAGATTTAACGTTTTAGTAATATAGTAATTATAAAAAACATAATTAATAGGTATCAATGATTTTACCGACCGATAAAATTAATAATATCTTCAAATGAAATCAAAGTCCTATCCGGAAGTCTGATGCCACGACCTCGCCATTACTTTTTTAAATATGCTGCGGATGTCATAACTGTCATAAGTAATCTATCGCGTTAAAAAAATTTGCCACGCGTAGATGAACGATATAATTTCAAGTTTATGCGGATATTGAGTATGTGGCAATCAGCAGATCAAGCTGAGTTGGCATGCTCCTGTATATAAATTCAATCAAGGAGAGGAATAGATCATTTCGCATTTGGTACTTGGACACCACATAACACCATGTGGTTCCCTGTGACTCTTCTCCTCCTTGGTAAGCATTGATCATCAATTTTGCGGATAGTAATAACTGTTATCACAAAAATTTCAAATAGAATATTTCGTACTTCAATAAAATTTTTGAAAAGAATTTTTTCATGTTAATGTAAAATTGATTGATATGCCGATTTTTCAATATAAAATAGTTATTGCAAAATCTGAATTTCATGTCATATACTTATTGTTAAACTAATTTATGCACTGAGATAAATCCAAATTTTTTGAGACAACGAAATAAGAACTTTATTTCAATCCGGCAAAAAAATACACAGTTCGATTATTATAATTTTGCAATCTGTTTGAACAGTTGGCGTGGCCGTGGCCCTGCCAGGTCATGGTAGCCATGGATGGGAATCGCAAAACGAGTATCAATACATTGTACACAGTAGGACGGTAACAGGCCTTGACAAGTTGAAAAACCAATATACTGGACTTCAAATAAAGGGTATCCTCACCATTCAAGCAAAATCGCCGGAGTCATTGGTGGCGAAGCTTTCCGATCCGCAGTATGCTCGTATACACACTACATTACCGGACGGTCCGGAAACCAAGATCTCCGACCACATGTTGGAATATCGCGAGCTTCCCATGTCAGGAAAACCATTCGAAATCAAATTTAAACATGGAGTGATGCAGGAATTGATGGTCGCCCGTGATGTACCTACTTGGGAACTGAATATCCTCAAGGGTCTCGTGAGCCAGCTACAGGTTGACACGCAGGGCGAAAACGCGATAAAACAGAAGAACAATCAAAATCTTATCGACGAGAATTCTTCCGCTATATTTAAAGCCATGGAGGACTCCGTCGGTGGCAAATGCGAGGTTTTGTACGAGATCATTCCGTTGCCCAGTGATGCTCTTCAAGAGAGACCAGATAGGCTACCTTTCCCACGCTTACACGGTGACGTTCGTCATTATGACATTAAGAAAACGAAGAATTACAACAACTGCCAGCAACGACAACTTTATCATGTTGGCTTACAAGTTCCATTGCAGGAAAAAATGAATCAGCAGGATCAAATTGTTTCGGTGAGTTATATTTTAATTGTTCTTATGTAGCTAAAAAATGTGACGGTTGTAATTGTTAAAGATTATGAAAGAAACTTCTTTAAACAACAGAAAACAGTTTTATTTTAAATGTCGATACTTTTTTATACTCAGTTAACCAAACTGCAATTAATAAAAAAAAATTAAAACTGTTATTATCAACAAAATTTATTTTCTATTGACGTGATTATTTTATTACAGCAAGTGTCTATGACTCAAATGATTATTACGGGCGATCTGAAACGCTTCACAATTCAATCTATCCAGACGAAGAATCAGGTATCCGTCAAACCTGATGTATCTGATCCTTATCTTGGTGCCGTCCACAGCATGATAAAATTAACTTTAGCCAAAAAAAGCAAAGTCTCCAACCCTTTGTCTGACCAACACGAATCAGTCAATCTCGAATCAACTGGAAACCTGTTGTACGCATATAATGACCCATTCTCCAGCTCTGAGAATCGAAAATTACGTCATTCGAGCATCAGTCGAAATTCTGCGCAAGTACAATCGTCAGAGAGCAGCAGTTCTTCTCAAAGTTCCAGCGAGGAAAACGTAATGCTGCTGGATGATTCTCTCTGGCAATCTAAAGCGCCACTGCACATGGCTCCAAACGTACCGCTGTTACCTTACTTTGTCGGTTACAAGGGCAAGACTATCCAGATGTCCGATAAGGTCAACGTTGTGGAACAGGCCGCGAATCTAATTTCTCAAATAGCCGAAGAAGTAGCTTCTCCATCAAAGACAAATCGAGATACGCTGGAGAAATATACAATTGTGAAGAACCTCATTCGCACCATGAACCTCAAGCAGTACGCTGAACTAGAGCAGCGCGTAAACGCCGTTAATGGAGAGGATCAAAATGTCTGGAGCATCTTTCGCGATCTAGTCACACATGCCGGAACTGGACCTGCTTTACACACTATCCAAAATTGGATAAAGTCTAAGAAAATTAAAGGCATAGAGGCGGCAAGGATTATCTCCCAAATTCCCAAGCACGTTCGCCATCCAACGGCGGAATATGTTCAAGCATTCTTCGTAAGTACTTACCTTTTCCGTACAATATGTTAGCAATCAAGCATTCTTTTAATCCTTCACATCCGATCGAAATGCTTATTATATTAGTATTTAAACAAAGTTTATTTGCATAAATGTAATTTAAGTCTTTATACAATCTGTGTAGGAAATGAATCTCGATCCAGTAATAATGCAACAGGAATATGTAAATGTATCCACGCCTTTAGCGTTTGCCGAATTAATCGACAAAAGTTATAACGGCCAGAAATATTATCCGATACACAGTTTTGGCCCTATGACTCCCGAGATTAACAGCGTGGTGGTCAGTCGCTATATTCCCCACATGGCTAATCAAATGAAACAAGGCTTGACCGAAAATAACAGTGAAAAAGTTCAAACATACATCATGGCACTTGGTCTCACCGGCCATCCGAATATTATCTCGGTTTTTGAACCGTTCGTAGAAGGCACAAAGCCAGTGACGAAATACCAACGTATGGTCATGGTAAATGCCTTGTCTACCTTAGCCAGACACCAGCCTAAATTAGTTGGACCTATTTACTACAAGCTCTACATGAACACATATGAGAATCACGAGATGCGTTGCCTGGCAGTACATGAATTTATCAAGACCAATCCACCTTTGATTATGTGGCAACGCCTAGCGAAATTCACTAATGTCGATAGTAGCGAACAGGTGAACTCCGTCGTGAAGTCTACAATAGAGAGCATCGCTAATCTGAAACGATCGGAAATGCAAAATATCGCTAACAAGGCGCGCAGTGTAAAGTATTTACTGACGAAAAAGGATAGTAATATGTACTCGAAAGGCTACTACACGGACATATGGGGGTACTGGTTCCTTAGAGGACTTAATTTGCGAACCATTGTTGGTGACGACAGTCAAATACCAATGTGGCTACGCCTTAATGTGAATACCATTTTCGATATGTTCGACCGAGGTTTACCCGTAAAAACAGGATATGGAACATCGAGCGCCAAGCAGCTTATGAATAAAGTATACGAAATAATGCAACAGTGGCAACAGAAAGGCGAACAATCAAGCGAAGAATCATCGCAAACGTCAGGCTTTGAGGAACTTCTGCAAGCACTTAATATCAAGCCCGAGCACTTGAACAAGTTAGAAGGACATGTCTTCCTTTATACCATGATGCACGGACTTCAGTTCTATCCCTTCGATGGTTCATCATTTGAAAAGCTTTCCCGTGGTGAGAATTCCTGAATTTTATTTGAAAACTATATTACTTTTAAAGATATTAACTTTATAATATTATTATTGTATTACAGATGTAAAGAATCACGTCATGAAGAGCAAAAAAATAGGATCAACTTTAATTAACAATCAGGAAATGACAATAAGCTTCCCGATTGAAAATGGCTTGCCGTTCGTCTATACTTTCGAATCGCCAGTACTCATCAAGAACAAAGTTGATTTTAACAGAAATCGAGACGAAATGATTGAGCAAATATCTGGCAATCTTGATGCTCTTGTCGCCAAGAGGGTTCAGAAGCGATTTGGATTTCTAGCGCCTTTCGAGCATCAAAATTACATGACTGGTGTCGATCACAGTCTCCAACTACAAGTACCATTAGAGTTTGAAGTCACAGTTAATCATAGAGATTTAAGTTCAAGCGGGCTGAAGATTCGCCCGAACATCTTATCTATGCAAAATCAAATGGATTCTTCTAATGGAGTCAAATTGTTGCACCATAGCACTATTCCATTCACCACGCGACAAGACGTTCTTGATCTTCAACCTGTATCTCTTGATAAAAACACACATCTTATACTGACTTCAGAGAAACATAAAACCACATTAGAAAGAGATCCACTTTATATCCAGGTAGAATCTGATAACAAACAAGTAGAAAGAAATAATGCAGGAAATAACGTTGGACAGCTTTTGTATCAACTGATGGGAATTTCAAAGAAAAATTCGAATTATAAAAAGTTAGACGTATCAATAAATCCTGGACGGATAGAAAAGAGTGGCTTACATTTCAACATCGTTTACGATAAAATGGTACTTGGTGATAACAATGGTTATAATAAACATCCGCGTGCATTAGAGTCCCAGAGACTATTTTCTATAAAGCACACAAAACCAAACAGTGAGAATAGAAGAAAGGAAATTATGGAAACCCTTAGCCAAGGTGTCAAGTCGGGTGACGTCCACGTATTTGATGTAAGTTACAAGACACCATTGCAAAAGCACGCACAAGTTCTCACCGTCGGTGTAATGGAGCTCAACAACGTGAACAAAACGCATATGACTTATGTTTATTGGAATTCTCAATCAAACATGGAAAAGCCGGAATATGAAGCTTGCTACGTTCAAACAATAGAAAGTGCACCAAGAACTCCTTTAGACTTTGAATATACGCTCAGGAGCAACCCGGAAAATACGCTCCAGGGTGTACTGCGATATGGAAAAAGTTGCATGGAAGGAACCAAAATTGTTCTCGAAGGGAAAGCGACGCAAAGTAACGAATTAAAGGAAGCGATAGAGAACTCCGAAACAGCCAAAAAATGTTGGGAAGAGATTCAAAACGGAAACAAAGTATCGCGGGCTTGCCAGAAGGCCACCGAGCTTGCCGAAATAAAGGATAAGATACGTGTTGTAGTTAAAGAAATAACTGAAAATGTCCAAAATGTTATTAACAAAGTTATAGACTGGCTCTCAAGTATAGTGGTAATACATATAAAAGAAAACAGCAAAAATTCTGGAACAAATACCATCAATGTAAAAATGAATTTATTACCCTACAAAGTACCAAAAGTCTTAGTGCAAACCCCGCAACAGGAGATTACTTACCCTTACATTAAGGAAACTCCTTTGGAAGAACAACGGCTACTGATGAAAAAAGTCAAAATGCTCGAAAATGAAATAGAAAAACGTAAGTTATAAAATTTAAAAAAATCTAATTAGTGTTCTTCAAATATAGTAAATTATGGTAATTAAATATGCTAATAATGTATCATGTGCATACGTTAATTAAAAACAAATTAACGCTTAAATAATAATGCTGATAACTTGTTACTCTATTTGTAGTACTTCTCAATAATTCCGCGAGCGGATATATTTATCATTATTATTACACTAATTTAAGTAATTAAATTATTGTTCCGTTGTCGACATCTCGATGCATCTTATTATATCTTATTAGATAAAGATGTCCTGCAAAATATAATATAATATATATATCTATATATCTAGATTACTTATAAAAATTCGATAATATAACATCAATGAATTCTTTTTCACAGCTTCGTGTAGTCTCGACAAAAATATGGTCGTTACTTTTGATAAGCGGGTTTATCCTGTGACACTGGGAACAACCAAGCACGTGTTAATGACCGCTTATCCGATAATGGATCCTGATAATCGCAAGAGTCCAATTCCGGAAGAATCGAGAGTAGCTGTCGTAGCTCACGATACGAACGACGGCAGTAGGAGCGTCAATATATACTTGGGCAAACGAGAAGTTAAATTGGTAAAATTGGATAATGGCCTGAAAGCTGTAGTTGACGGAGAGACACTCGATTTTGAATCGAAGAAGCATTATTATTATCGCGAAAACGGCGAAGTCGTTTTCGAAATCGGCGTGCTACCGGACCACTCGATCGTATTATATTCGAAGAAGTATGGAATTTACGTTGCGTACGACGGAAAGCGTGTTGCAGTATGGGTTAGTAAAAATATGAAACAAACTGGTAATATTAATAATAATATTGTAATGTAGAAAGTGTAATAACAATTGGAATAAATTTGTTTTTTAGGCAGGTCATAGGTATCGCAATGCCGTGCGTGGTCTTTGCGGTAACTTCGACTCCAATCCCGAAGACGATTTCCTTACTCCTGAGAACTGCCTCCTGACGAAGCCTGAAGAATTCGCCGCCATGTATGCCTTGATTCAGGAGAATTCCGAGGGATCTGTTCTGGAGAACAGGCGAAGAGCCGAACAAGCCCAGTGCAGGAAACGCTCATCAATGCATAGTCATCAGAGCAACATTATCAACGATAGAGAAGCGGGAAGAATAATGGCAGAGGGCGGGCCAGTACAAAGATGGTACTCTCCATCAACAATTAAAGAACGATACACAACGATGAGACCCATCCGTCATCGAGAGTCTAGCGGGTCTAGCGGATCCAATCAAGAATTCAGTCAAGAGGATAGAGATAATCGTGATTCGGGAAGACACAACATTGTCTATCGCACAAGAGTCCTCGAAGACAACTCACAGCAACACATTTGTTTCACTATCGAACCTGTGCCAACATGCCGCGAGGGAACTACTCCAACCGAAAGAAAGTCGAAGAAATATGATCTTTTCTGCGAGGAGAGGAATGAGGAATCTGTAGGATTGAAACACAGAGTCGAGAAAGGCGCTAATCCCGATTTTAACCGAAAGCGTGCCAGCAAATCGAAAACTTTCCAAGTTCCTGTTAGTTGCAGCGGCAGCACATATTAGTCCGTCAGTACAGAAATGATATACCGATCTTGCATACTTAATTGCTAATGGATTTCTTTCTATTTTTTATTTTATTTTTTTTTAAAGCTGCAAATATGTTCTTTTAGTAATTGCAGTAATGTAAGCAATAATAAAGTTGAAACTTTTCAACGTAATTATTTGTGGTATCCTTTCCTGCACATCCAAGTTTGAAATCAATAATCCATTTAATTACCAGCATTATCAATTAAGATCATTATGTGTCTTTTGTACAGTCTTTTGTAATTGTCCTCTTTGTTGAAATAGTATTGTTAAACCTCTATTTCAAACTTTCTAGCAGAACACCGTCCCTAAAATGAGATACAAGTTAAATAAGCAGGGTTGGCAAAGATATTTTATAAAAGTAACTCATTACCGTTATCGTTATTCAAAAAAACTAACGAGTCGTTACTATTTTCGTTACTTTTTTCTTGATATTTATGGATTATATAAAAATTTTTGTAGTAAATATAAATAGAAAATGTCATGGAATTCTATCTTTTAATAAAGGAATAAGGCTCAAAATCTGATGTCGAAAGATACGGTCATGTCCCAGCGTTAAAGAATATGTGCGAGACAGATTAATTATACAGGGTACCTCGTCTACTTAAATCGAACACCTTGAATACTCACTTATTTTTGATGACACAAAAAAATATTTCAGATGAAAGTTGAACGGTTTCGAGGGGGATGTAATTTTGCCGCGTCGTTTTTTTTCTAGGTAAAGGCTTCAAAAAATTATGAAGATAATTTCCACTTTTTTTAACAAAATTATATAATTTTTTTACATAATATGATTTCTCTAATTATTCTGCATTTAAAAGTTATTAAAAAAATGTAGTTGCATATTATAAATTATTTTTTTTTTTTAAAGCAACTGTGTGTTTTCTTTACACCAATCGATTCATTTAATTATTCTGTGCCTAAAAGTATTATACTATTATCAAAAAATTAATAGTTTACGAGATATTTTATATTTTATATCAAAATATAGTATGATAAAGTATAAAATATCTCGTAAATCATTGAATTTTCGATAATTCTCTTTTACATATTATTTTTTACATTTAGATAGAAAATAATTAGAGGAATCATATTATAAAAAAAAAATCATATAATTTTATTTAAAAAAGTGAAAGTGACCTTCATATTTCTTTGCCTCTCTACCTAGAAAAAAAACGACATGCTCAAAATATGTCCTCCTCAAAGATGTTTCAGCTGTTGAACTTTCATCTAAAACATTTTTTCATATCATCAAAAATAAGTGAGATATTCAAGGAGTTTGATTTAAGTGGACCATCCTGTATATACATATTATATGTATACATATATATATAATATAGATGTATAATATATGTATAAATATACATACATGAAGGAGGACTCTGATTGAGTCTCAATCAATTCTCATCCACGATGCATTTAGATTCCTATCTAAATTCCACCAAGCTATTAATTTATTCTCGTTTAACATTTGGTAAGTAACAAAAATACCTGAACGAAATGATGTCTGAACAGCACTCGGGTGGGAAATCAAACGCATCCCAATCTATACGCAATGCTAGAAATAAAGTAACGATAAAAGTAACTAATCAAATCGTTACCGTTATGCAAAAATGTACCTGCGTTACCATTAACGTTACTCATAAGGAAATGTAACGTCGTTACCCATTCGTTACTGAAAAATGTAATTGTAACGATAACGACGTTACTTGCCAACCCTGGAAATAAGCCTGTGTGACAAACGTGTTTCAATTATCGCATCTTGTCCCATTGCATTGTCCTATCTGCTTATTAATCTGCTTATTATTCTCAATTCAAATATCTTAAATATCAAGATATTCTGACTCCATATCACAAAGACTCCCAAACGTTTTAAAAAATCTCGTAATCCCACGGCTACGAGTCCTAAGGTACTATCAAAGTCGCGTATCGCAGCATTCGCAGTTACGCAGTTGCTTGCTTTGATCTCTTTCTACTTTGGAGTTATTTGCTTCGCTCAGTTGCGATCATAATGTAAATATTAGCATGCATTGAATTCGTGTAATATACACTACAATTTAACCTGATGAGTTCGTTGCCGTATCCGTGCCTATTCGCTTTTCTCTATGTATTTTCAACGTGCCGTGAATACAAATATTATATGCCCTTAGAATTAAATAGATTGCAAGTAGAAATTGTTAGAGTATCTTCTTATATTTTCTATTTCGTTATAAAAAGAAAATTTTAATGCAAACAAATTTATTCATTAACGAGATCCATTTCCCTATTCAGCTATTATTCATATGTCCTGTGTCTATATTATACTTTTAGAGTACGTACTAGAAATATAGACGGGATATAGTAAGGGCAGGAGGGAGGGCAAGTAGTGACAGGGGGCAAATAGTGTCAATTTAAATTTCTCCTCTTTCCCGTGTCTATTTTACCATTACTTGTTAATAGAAAGACAGTTCTCAAAAGCATCTAATCATCTTCCGAAAAAGCAGTAAAAATCGAAAGCCAAATATAGATAGCGGAGAAATCTAAAATTCAGCATTTGTGAAATGAAGGTAAAACCTGGATTTTTTTTTGGTATTTTAAGTTATATTTTTTTAATTGCTGAATCGTTGAACGAGATCTAACCTATTCTATGTCATGCGCTACTTTCTTCCTCTATTTTGATATAATTTCTATGCTTGCATATTAATTTTATTTTTCTCAGTAAAGTTTTAAAGAAAAAAGTAGCTCCTGAGGCAAATAATGTCAATGTTTAGTGGGGTAAATAATGACAAGTCAAACAGCTCGGAAGAGCACACGTCTGAACTCC